ACAGATTTTACCCTAATCCCCAGAGTTTACAGATTAGTTCCACGGAAAACATACTTTTGTGATGTTACAACTAGAAAAGATTTGGAAGCAATCTGGAGACGTACATAATGTATTTGCTTCCATTTCATATATTTCATGCAAAACTAATGATTCCAACCTTTCTCATGTTTAATGTTAGTATCAAACTCTGAATTATCTTTGACAGTGACTGAGAAAATACAAGTTAGTTGTGTGACTTCACAGGAACTGCATGTGACTGGCATTCAACACAGTATCTTGTAGAATTCTCTTTTGCCCAAATAGTTACTGTCAGAAGACAGTCAGATCCAAAACAATGATATCAAAATGCCACTGATATGGGTTTTATTTCATGGAATACAAAAGTATTCCATGTGCACTGGCACACCTAGCACTAGCAGAGTTTCAGGGACTGAAACCTCTGTGGCTTCCTGCCAAGACATTTCATTGCTGCTGCTCTTTGAGGCCTTGTTTTGCATTTAAAATTATACAGAACACTGAAACACAGGGGGAATAGTGTAACTTCTCAAAGGCTCATCCCTCTTCATACTTCTTTCTATAAATAAACCTGAATTCCAAACCCTATTATTACCGATAGACAGCATTTAAAGAAACCCATGAAAAATCATCCAAATAAGAAGGGTATTAAAGGCAGGTGACAACACTTGTTCAAATTTGACTTCATATAGCATGAACTAAATGCAAAACTAAACAGGTCACACGCACCCTTACAGAGAAATTAGTCATGAATCAAAAGCAATAGTGCTTAAGACAAGCATATTATTCTTTAAATGGCTGTCAAAAAACATTCTTCTTGCCTTGTCTTCACTATGGAAAAAAATTAGTTACCTTAGGTATGTCAAGAGTATATTTCATTATACAAAACAAAATCGTAGAAGCATCAAATGGTTGCAAGATCACCAGATTAAAATAAGCAACCTAGGAATGTAGTGCTTCAACTTGGAACTACATGTTACAACTTGAAATCTCCTCATCTGCATTAGAAATCTGCTTTGCCAGAGATGGAGGAGCACTGTGCCCAAGAACACGATCTGAACAGTTCTGTGTTAGAAAAGCCAGGAATTGATGACCGAGTGTTTTGAAATCAGTTTTGAATCTCCCGTTTGGCTACAGCTAAATCTAATCAACCAGGCTTTCCCCAGAGACAGTTTGACTTGGGTGAACCTGCTGCAGTGCACAACAGAAGCACATCGTAATGTTTTGCAACAGACTTGCCCTGTGAGTTCTACCAGCACGGGACCAGAGCCATTACTCTGCTCCTGCAATGCCACACTACAAAGAAATAATCCCCAAAATGTTACCAGCCATTTGTACAAAAATCGCCATCCTACAGAACTAACCTGACCAGTTTTGCTGAGATTATGTGTAAGGACAAAAGGAATTGTCTTCTGATACAAATAGAAATGACACTTGTACAGGAGTACCCTGCTCAGGGTAAGAATTTTTAAATGAGTTGCTCCAGTGGTACAGTGGAGGAGGATCTTCTCAGGGCATTCATTATAGTGGACCCATCTCCTCAAGAAGGGGAGGTTCAGGTACTTTTGATTCAAACACCTTCATCTGATTCACAGCTGCATAAACATTCACTGAGGCCTAAATGAAGTTGCAAGGCACTAGGCAGATTTTGCCTTGCACAAGGGCTTCCCATTGTCACCTTAATGTACTCTTTGCCTCTCAAAGACACATTCCACATAGTTTTATCATCTATCTGACTATTCATCCATCAGTCACTCTCCCTCACAACCAACATCTCTGAACCCTGCAGCAAGTGAATTCATCAGAGGTGGGGGTATCTCAGAGGAAAAGAAGTTCCTAACAGTTTGTCAAAACTGGCATCTGGAAAAAGAAAAGAAGCCCCACCTATTGTGCCTACGCAGGACAAGCAAGTGGAGCACACTTATTGTATATCCTATACACAGTCTTACAAACACTGTTAAAGCAGGTGAGTGTTCAGCCTGTCTTTTACACACCACCCAGCTCCTGTTTCCTTTGTGTAAGGATTTACCTCAGCTCAGCTCTTCCCTTTCTTCTGCCCTACCTGGTCCCTGAAGCTCTGCTCTACTCTTCATCATCTTCTTCCCTTCACTCTTAAGTGGCCTCTTATGCTATCAAGTTACAAGCTAGCTTCAGCCACAGAGGAAGACAAATGGTCCATTAGTTGTATAGTCACACACAAGGGTCTGCCCACAGACAAAACTCAAACCACGGTATTACTAAATGTACCTCAGGCATAAGTTTAGTCTGGATTTTCTTACCCTGTGTTGTCAAAAACACTGGTATAAAAGAATCATGATCCACAGATAGCACTTGAAGCAGCTTGTTCACAGAAATATTTAACACTAGTAATCTGCAGTGACTTGACCCTTTTATAGCATCTTAGAATCAGGAAACAATACTAAACTAGTGCTGAAGTCTCAATAGAATGCAACCTGAAATAAAAAGGGTATTATCTTCACCAAACAGCCACCAAATGAAAAAAAAAAAAGAACACCACCCCATACAGCAAAAAGGAAATAAACAATAAACAAACATTTTGAAGAACACTGGTAGATCAACCAGGAAGGGCAGAAAAATCTCGAAAACCGTTTCAGTGATGCAGATCATGTTTCCATTCACTCTAGCCAGCTGCAGACACAAAATTGATACAAATATTGATCTGAGTCTGAAGGACACTATTTCCATTGTGCCAGCATGATGGGTTATCAAAGCATTTGGCTGCAGGGCTTGACGACATTGATCGGTAATGACAGCTCTTACGGGTGTTCTGTGGCATGGGGACAGACAGCAGCACAGAAATGAAATAGTGAGTTAATCTTATTTTTCATCATGAGATGAGAAGGGGATGAAGGGGATTTTTTTATAGTGTACTGCAACTATTAAGTGCTTTAATACAATATTGTATTTAGAAAAGATAAAAAGCAACCCAATTTCTACTCTTTTGGAGCAGTGTTGATTTTATCTGATGTGTATCTAATAGAGTAACAAAAAATATTTAATGGGAATGCTGAAACAGGGTAGTATGTTCATATTCAGCCATCTTGCACTGAAAATGTCCTGACCTTCCCTTGAATCTTCCACAAACTCTGCAGCCATTATTCCAAGAGATTAGAAGGGGGATAGTAATGTAATGGATATTCCAGATCCTGTGTAAATATTCAGGTCTCTTTTGGTATAGTCACTGTAGGAAGCAGGTGCTGAAAACAGCAAACTCCACAAGCTGAAGCACACCATTCTCCAGACCTTTAAGCTTTAAACTAAGGTTGAACTTTGGGAGAGGGATCTCTTTTTTGATACCTGTCCCTCAGAGATTCAGACACTTTATGTGCACACAGTTGCCTTGTCTCTTTTTTGTGTCTGTGTTTTTTTTTTTGTTGGTTCGGGGGGGGGGGGGGGGTGTCTATCATATGAATGGATGTGATTCAGCAGGCAGGAGTGTGCTATGTCACAGAAAGGTATTCAGAGAGACCTGTCTTACCTGCTCAGAGCGAGAATGACATATTCACTTACTGAAGTACTGCTTTCTTCATTCAGTTTTTGAATACCAGATCTAGAGTCTGCTCACCCCCTTGCTCCAGTTCTCGCTATGAGATGCCAATTCCAATGAGAAAAACATCAGGAGAGACAGCTTACTTCTTCACACTTTGTCACTCTGGCTGGTTATGTACTTGCTGAGTGTACCCAAGACAACATTCAGCAACAAATCAGTTAACAATGCTGGCACTTAGAAGGTTCTGTTCTTACGGGGCTGGGGTGGATATTCATGCTTCTGTAACTAATAATGCTTAAATGGGAAGGATAAGGTATCAGCAGGACATAGATTTATACTTCAAAGATGGCTAAAAACAAATGTGAGGAAGAATCCCATTTGCACAGTTTCTGGATACTTTCAATCCATAGCACTGTACAGCTACTGCTTTTGAATTTCTTGGTTTAATGGTTATAATTATTAGCAAAGTTAATATTCCATCTTCTTATATTCTACAAGATGTTTCATATTTCAATATGAAAAAGGGAAAATTTTTCCTATTTCATTAAAAAAATTTCATATAGCTCATAGCAAGAGAGAGAGAAGAAATGCAGACCATAGTCATAGTATTACAGCTGACGCTATTTATCTCAGAGACAGACATGCTAGGCAAGGAGCCGCTTAAGGAAACTGCAGTGTTTACACAGAAAACACTGAGATATTAACACAGGATGACATTGTCACTTTTGGAATGGTTACTCAACCCATGATACAAAAAACATCTGAGAATCTGCAAACACACATTTTTGGAACGTGGGAAAGCATAGTTCAGAACAATCCAGGTATTAAGCCCAAACTCTGTTTTGCCATAGAAGTATAGCTTTAACAAGGACAACAGTCCTTTTTTATGGCAGTAAACAGTTTGAGAATATGCAAGTGTTAACATAAATCATTCCTAAATGTAAAAATATTAACACCAAATCTTACATGTTACTCTACCAGGGTTTTAAAACAACTTTTCAGTTTCCTGTTTTTTGCCCCATTCTACCTTACAAAGATAAAATGCATTTGCTTTAACCAACTTTACACTATAGATCCATCACCAAATTCTCCCTTTTCTTTTTCCAAGAGGGAAGTAAGTGACTAGCTTTCAGATTAGACTGCATCTTATCCTGGTATTCTGGTCATGCAATTAATAAGGAAACAAACAGCAAATGCAGTCAGAACTTCCTCAAAATAGTAAAGACAGTACACATATTGTATCACACTCCATTCTATCTTCGTTAGGTAATAATCAATCTGCTCTTGATAGTAATTTTGAAAATTATTTTAGATTATGCAATAACACCATATTAGCAGCTGATGCTTATCATTACTTCACCAAAAATTTGCTAAAACAGAGATGCAGCTGACATTTCAAAGGTAGAAACTCTGGATAGACTCAACAATTAGTGTAACACCAAGTGCCACACAAAAGAAATTCACAATTAAAAGGTTTAAGTTACTTTCTTAATGTAAGCTTATAGCACCAGAATGCAGCAGCTTGGCAGGGGAGAGCGCGAACGCAGTACTTCTGCTCTGGGAGATTGCCACCCAGAACTGGGCATGCCCTCTGCTAAGGAAAAACATGACTGCTACTGTGGAACCCAGGACATACACGCAGATGACCTTCACTCAGCCTTGCAATGATGTCATATTAACCACACTATTACAGCACTTTAGGGCCCGTGGTCTTAGATAAAATTGACTTTTAAGCTTCAGTGTTGACTAAACAACTTTCTTAACCCCAGCGTAAAGCCTTACAGAGTAAGCAACTGGAGTGTGAGTAAGGGAGCTGGAACCTGGTGTTCTGCATGAGGCAACATGCATTCTCTGAGAACAACGTGCTGGTTTTCAACATTATCACTACCATCTCTTTCTGAAATGGCTCAAACTTTTAACAGGGCAGTACTATAAAATCTGTAGAATTCAAGTGCTATCTTAGCTTTTTGGAAGACTTGACAAAATTTGCAAGCAGACTGACAGGCCTGCAAGTGTCATAAAATGCAACCACACCACTTGAGGATTTAGCACTAACTGAAACAACCTGCTGGACTGCCAGATCACTAAGAGCAGCAGTTCGAACAGCCCTCCTGATAGAAATCTAACTACCAACAGCCAAACCCCACTTTATACCTAGTTATTACAAGGCCAGCCCAAATGGCCTAACCATCTAAATGCTGATCCTTTGTGGCAGAATTCCACTGCCTAAGTGCCTAACACCAGAACGACTCTTGAGCTGCCCCAGGGTGTCCAGTCTGAGCTCCAGCCACTGCTCTAGAAGGTTGTTGTCTCCTGCAAGTCCTGTGTCATACCTACCAGGCTTGGAGAGATGTGTAAGATGCTGCTGGGCAGGTAAAACAGCACTAGGAAAAAGCTGGGAGGGTTGTTTTGTTTATTCTATTCACCGCTAAAAGCCTATCCTCCTTATCTTAATCCGTAACAAGTGTACCTAACTGCACTGTAGTGCATAGTGCTTAAGCACGACATCTGCCCCAATTCTTTTTTAACATCTGGTTACCTACAGAATTCTAAGTTATTTCTTTGCAATGGCATCATGGCTTCTGACAGAGGATAAGATAAAACAGAAAGGATCCCAGCTCCTCAAAAAATACGTAGGGAATTATCCCATTTATCAGCTGGCCAGGCAGAGATTTTTTACTTACTTTTGACACTTTCTTCTTCGAGCCATCAGTACTTTCTGCTTCTTCATGTTCCTTAACACCTTGGGTAAGATTTGTGTAGTTGACCAACTTGCCAAGCAGAGATGACACTTTTGGTCGTATATCAAGTTCTTCCTGTGGAAGAAGGCAACTAGTCAACTTCTGCAATTCACAGCATTTATGAAGGGTGGCTCGGGTCACGCCTTCCTGGCATGCCTGAGGCTGCCAGGGAATACACCAATAAATTATATAGGGAGTAACAAAATATTTCATTGTGCTGGAACCACTGATGAAAGGATTTAATTTCCTGAAAGGAGTGCAACTCTCATGAGAAAAGGCTATGCCCGCGGGTCTGCACTGAACGCATCCTTCTCCTTAGCTGCTGAAAAGCATGAATTACAGCAACAAAGAAGTCTGAGCCTTGGGACTGTAAGAAAGTTAACATGTACCTTGCCTGTGTCCCTCATGTCAGCTTGTATCAACAGATATACTTTTTAAAGCGTCAAGTTGCCTAACAAATTACAGATTTAGTGATTAAACTCCAGTCATTGTAGGCATGCATGCACTCTGATTATTTTAGTACATTATTCAAACTATGTCATCTAACTCATGTGGATCTAGGTAAAAATCCCAAAAGACACAGAGAGGCCTCATATCTTTACATTTATCCCACCCAACTTCTCTTTCTGAAACTAAGGTCAAGAGGAAAAAGAAAAAGGGGGGAAAAAAATAAGAACAAAATCATTCTCTCCCTCTTTCTCTGTGAAACTAAATTGTCTTATGCATCTAACTGCACAGTAAGTAACGCATGGTAAAGAGAAACAACTTTCTACACAGGAAATGAAAAAAAATATTAAGAAAGATTTCACTGTCTGGAGTGTTATCATATTTTCCTGTATTACCACAAAGTTGCCAGTAGGATCAGCAGAGTTACACGCTATGCACCCAACTGAAACTGACCCCAAATGGCTAAGCAGATGCCATAAGCCAGGCATCCCTTTTCTGACTGTTTCCCCTGCTCTGATCTGCAGTTCACATCTTTAAAAACCTGACTGTAACTCCTTCCAGAAAGAGGTGACACATCCTGTTCAGTTGAGCAGCATGGCCTTTGGGATGTTCTTCCCTCTCTGCAGTAGCACATGAGGAGCCTTGCAGACCCGGTGTGGTACTGCATTACTGCTTCTGAAAAATGCAGGTATGTAAATAATAGCAGCCATGCCGCAAGTGGCCACTCTGCATGATCTAAAAGTGAGGTTATCCTGGTCACCGATTTACCATGCCTTGGAGGGAGGAGGCCTGAGAGCATGCTTCCAAGTCTTTTAGCTTAAGCACCCTTCCATCAAGCATGACTGTAGCCTTTCCACAGTGAGTGCCTATCTTGCAGCAGGTAGGTTTACACTTGTCCAGGCTCTATGCCAAGCAGCTGAACAAGCAGGTGTTAACCTAGCAGGGTGCAGAGCCAGTTCTGGCTGCTCCAAACTGAGTTCCCATAGTGGGAAACACATTCCATCCCTGGCAGTGTTCAAGGCCAGGCTGAATGGGGCTTCAAGCAACCTGGTCTATTGGAAGGTATCCTTCCCATGGCAGGGAGTTGGAACTGGATGAGCATTAACCCAAAACCATTCTAGGGTTCCATGTTGCCAGTATTGCTGTGAAACTGTAACTCAAACACCCAGCTGGAAAGCTGCTGCAGAGCCATACAAAGACTCTGCAGCACTCCCCAGCACCAGAGCTTCTGGAAACATTTTTTAGCAACCGTAATATATCTGTATGTTATGCAGTACAAGTGAGGTGAGGAAGCGGAAGAGGATTCTGCTGTACTTGGTGTGGCTTCAACTGGCTTCCCACATAACAGTCTGGTCTTCCTCACTTCCCTCACAGTCCCGAGTGGTGATAGTATCTGAGCTTTTTCATCACACAGGGTATCTCTGCCCACTGGTACCTTGGACAACAGAAATGCACCCACAGAAAAGCACATGGGGGAGAAATCCAGGTTACTGACGTTCTGTGGTAGTAATACAGGCTACCCAGGCTAATTTGACTGCCTGAATTTACAGGATAACACAGTCCTTCTTAGCACAACAAATCAGCCCATGTTCATTTTCCACTATCATTAGCCCACAGTGCCACAGCTTCAATACTTGAATTATTCAGGTCACCTCTGGTACCATTATGTTTTGCTCCTTTGTAGAGATATCCCTAAATACACCAATGGCTTTAAGACTGGTCATGCAGTGAGAGCTCGGAACCAACCCACTGCCTGGAACTTTGCAATGCACTTAATGGGCTCAATCCCTCCCATCTTGGAAGATCACAAATCACAATGGAAGCATAAAAGACAGTTTGAAGATACCTCAAACAAGGCCAGATTTCTGTCATAGTAATCACCTCCCTTGCCAGCTTCTGAACTGTTCAGGAAAGGACTGTTTTCTTTATGGTTGCCATGACCTGCAAATTAAAAAAGAATCAGGTTTCGATAAGCACAGAAAGACAGACTGTAACTTGACAAAACCCACAGGGAATAAATTTATTTGGTCAATTGAATCTGTTTCTTTTTACTATCTGAAGTTATGCAACGTTATCAGTATCAGGGGTGTTACTCTCAAGGTAGAGTTATTTTTATTTCTACTCCTCCATTTTCATTAAAATAGAATAAAAAAATCACTTCAAAGTAAAATTTACAACAGCTACACCATTATCTGTGCATTTATTCTCTAATGTTCCATCTAATAACTATTTCTTATACAGATTAGTAATAAGTAATAGGACAGTTCTTGTGTACTCAGAAAAAATTGCTAATGCTAAGTAGCATTTTAATGCTAAGTAGCAACGTTTGAGCACTACATTCAAACAGATTAGGTAGATTTAGTAAGACTAAACAAATCAAAGGCTATACATATTCTGTTATTACAATACACCAAAGCACCTCCTTTTATTGTTGTTGTTTTTGTTTGTTGGTGTTTTTTTTTTGTTGGTGGTGCTTGTTTTCTTACTATGCCCAACAATGCTAGATATCAAACATGCTCACTTCATGATGCCTTTACCCTTACTGTATTTTGAACATTTAGACTGTGCATTCTTCAGACTCCTCTTATGCTTTTAAGTTAAAAGCCTAATATCAGGTACAGTAAAAGTAAAGCATCCAGTTATGCAATGAACATTTGAAAAAAAAACAAAAAAAAAAAACATATCATGGAAGATCAGTAGAGCAAGTACAGAGGGGACCATGAAGATGCTCCAAAGGCTGGAGCTCCTCTGCTATGGAGACAGGCTGAGAGAGCTGGGCTTGTTCACCCTGCAAAAGAGAAGGCTCCAGAAAGACCCTTTAACAGTATTCCAATACCTAAAGGGACCACCCAAATATCAGAAGAGGGACTTTTTAGAAGAGAATGCAGAGAATGTAGCGACAGGACAAGGGTGAATGGCTTTAAGCTGACAGAGGGGAGATTTAGATTAAAATTTAGGAAGAAATCCTTCCCTCTGAGGGTGGTGAGGCCCCAGCACAGATTGCCCAGAGAAGCTGTGGCTGTCCCATCCCTGGCAGTGTTCAGAGCCAGGTTGGATGGGGCTTGGAGCAACCTGGTCTAGTGGAAGGTGTCCTTGACATGGCAGGGAGTTGGAACTGGATGAGCTTTAAGGTCTCTTACATCCCAGATCATTGTATGATGATTCTATTATCAGTAGAGCTTTTTTAAAAAATACTAACTTTAAAAAAAAGGGCACTATAGTATAAAATGAGCTCAGAGCAGGGGGGTAATATATTAAATTGATTCTAGTATTCAGAAGTTCTCAAACCTCTGGCTCCCATTACCCTGCTTGACAAACAAAAAAAAAGTCCTTTCACTTGCTTGTAACTCTTCACTCCCTGCTCTTTCAGCCAATACAAACTAAAGACATCTCCAAGAGTATCTCTTTGACAAAGGATCAATCCAAGGAATACTTTTTTTCTACTTACAAAAAAAAAAAGTAACTACTACAGAAATCAAAAATGAAAGGAAGAAAATTATTATTTCAAATTAAAATGTCAAGTTAACACAGTATTGTACAGTGAATACATAAAAAGCAAGAGACTAAACAGCTCAATTTTAAGGTACATATTTTCATGATTAAGGTAATCAGTTCAACAAGGCTACACTAAATTATAATATAATTGAAGTTAAAGTATCTCTGCATTTTGAAATCTGAATCAACTTTAAAAATGAAGCTAGCAGGCAAACATCACTGTACACACAGGGATCAGCATATACCACAGTTACAAAAACAACTGCTATAAGCAAAAAAAATATGACAAAGTTCAGTGCTGTTCCTACTGAGGGGAAAGGGTGCATGGAAAGAAACACAATTTGCTGGAAACTGCCAAGAGGTGCTTTGAACAGAACTTAGAAAAATCAATATTCATAAACAACAGAGGTCTTTTTAGGCTTCTGGAAGTAAACACTTAGCTGACCAAAAATACCTATAAATAGCAGACTGCTGTGTTTCACTGCCTATTGCTTTTCTCACAGCTCTGACAACTAACACACAAACATTACTTAGCAGCTGCCCTGTTACATATAAGACCTACATGTAAGAGATGTTCATATTGCTGCACATAGTAGGGTTTTTGTGCTACTACAAAAATATCAGTAAGCTTAGCAACACAGCATTAAAATATGTTTATCAACTTCAGCAAAGCAAATATTTACTAAAAAGCAGCCAAACCTAATTGCTTACTATATTTGTTACATCTATATTGGCAGAAGGCCTATACAAGATCAATTTTGTTCCAGTACATATTGTAAGCTGTGCTGCAGCCTGTTCTGTCCTATTGTGGTTGAAATATATTTGTGATTTTTGCTGAGGAAATGGAGTTATTTGCCATATAGGTGTTACTCATTAAACAGGACACCAGGGCAAATGATGGCATCAACAGCAATACTGTCTACGTGATTCTTCAAAGCTTTGGTCTGTGCTGTATCTTCTCATCCTCACAGTAAACACAACAAGGCCAGGAGTAA